CTGTACCCAATGTGGTTAAAAAATTTGCAACCCAAGGTTTTTGCATGGTATATGAGGTGATGATACATTTTTATAGCAGTAATATTTGGTAGACACATAAAAAGTGCCACATCAGTGACTGATGTCACAACTGTAGCAAGCCCAAGCTTGTCTCAAGATTTCACCAAAATTATATTTTCAATGAACATGTTGTATTTAGCATCCTACTGCCATACGGTGAATCAGCTTTCACGTCGATGACATGCATCATCAAAAACATGATCAGTTTGAAGAATCAGCATTTAACAAATACAGCAATCAAAATAAAACAGTCAGCAAGTAGTTCTTATGATCAGTTTGTACACTGAACAAAAGCATGCAACATGGACATAATGGCTGTAACTTTATGAATTTGTATTAATTAAGTGGTAATATGTCTACACAGACTGCAGATGTCTTCATGCAACAGTGTGATTGATCTATACATTCAGCATAAATAATATACCCTAATGTTGGTTTTATGACTCTACATAAAACCAGTGCTCTAATAACACTTAGAAATTGTTCAATCCGAAAATAAAATGTATACCCAAACTACGCCGCATCTTTTGGCATCAAAAATATTTTCTCAGTTTTTAAATTACAAAACAAATATTCTAGTAATTCATAAAGTGCCTCAAGTACTGGTCGTTTTTCTCTGGATCACATTCAGTATATATTATTTCTGATTCAGCTTACAAAAATTGTGGCGTGGCGTGAGCATAAATGATAGCACTAACTAATAAATATCTATTTGCTTCCCTCGTGACTGCTCTGGGCAGGCACAAGTACAGTACACAGGAGCTTTTCTACCTTTAAAGTGCAACATTTGCCATTTGGAAACATAAAACAGAACTGTCTTGTCTAGCAATAAAATTATTATCAAATATTGATTCTTTGCCAAACAGCATAACGATTCTCACCATAGTATAATTATGCCATTGTTTTTAATACAAAGGATATTTTATGACAATCATATAGGGCAGTGACCTATATAAAAGAACAAAGTGAAGTCATAATTGAAAATAAGTGCTGCAAAGTTAATGCCAATAAGGTACAGTTCTCTACTATCAGAGAACAGACAGGACCTCAGGCATAACAACTGAAGGCATGTTAAGTATCTGTGTTGTCTTCAGCAAGCAATCAAATGTTAGATTTCATTTTCTAAACTGACACTTGCAATCTCAGTAATGTCTACAATACTCACTGTTTTCACTTTAAGGGACCATTACATGTTTGCTGTGCATTAATATGCGTTAACGTGAATTTTGTTAAAGAGGTAGTAAACTTCCATTAAAAAAAAAAAAAAAAATCCCCGGGTAGTTCAAGTCATAATGTGCTAGTATGCATACTAGCATATTATGACATACTTACCTTAAAATGAAGCCCTCCAGCAGCAAGCTGTCACCACTGACAGGGCTTTCATCTTTACCTGGTCTTCTTTCAGGGTTCGCAGGCTGTGGCCGCTTGAATGGCCGAGCCGCGATGACGTCACTCCTGCGCATGTGCACGGCAGTCAAGGCCATGGCACAGAGCTCTGAATGGACAGCACAAGTATGCCATGCCTTTAAAATGCATGCGTCGGTGACGTCTCATGTGAATATCTCCTAAACACCTCAAGTTTAAGAGTTATTCACTGTACCTACAGGCAAGCCTTATTATAGGCTTACCTGTTCAAAAGTTCAAATGCAGGGTTTAGTACTGCTTTAAGGCAGCCCATTCAAAATTAAGGGGCTGCCAGCACTTCCTCACAGGCTTAAATTCGCACATGATCCTTGCATTGCAGATTACAACAATGCAGGTACGTTGGAGTGACATTTAAACTGAAGATCACTGCAACCAGAATGTATTATGCGCATTAAGTTATGCCAGCCGTACTCTAACACAGAAGTGTAATTCTAGCTTACAATTAGCCCTAATTTACATCTGTAGCAATAGGTATTGTGGAAAAACTCTTCTTCAAATTTTAAACAGAAGCACTCTTTTCCTATGATTTTCTAGTTCACCAGAACCTTGGCAGTCTACCCACCAACAGGGCTTTCTAAACTGTTAGGAGCAGACTGAAACCAAACTTTAGAGTCTTTGTTGTGATCACTACAGATCTTTGAGCGTACAATACTTCATTGTATAGTGCATGCTGCTAGATAGGAAAGGAAGGGCTTGTTTTAAAGCTACTTTACCGCTTGCTAAGAATATATAAATACTTTGATGTGCATCGTCTAGGCGCAGGTGCCCTTTAAGCACAGGATTCACTATAGTTTAATTAATACTAATACAACTAGCTCTTAAAGCTCTTAAATGTAATATATTGCAGCTTACCATTCATTAGATGTGGTGGCTGCAATAGTTTAAACCTTTCAGGCTTTTTCCCGTTTTCACCTAGTGATCTGGCCAGTAACACAATTCCTCTGGAGTGCCTGCACTCTAGATGGAGGAGGAGCAATAAAAACAGCGTTGGACAGTAGCATTTTCTGTCAAGGGGGAGGTTAGTCGTGCAGTAACAAACTTAGATACACTAACAATTTGAATTCGAACTCCAGCTAACATTTTTTAAGCAGTTACAGTAACAGTTTTTTTTTCCTTTTGCCAGTAGTAATTTTTTTGTCTCAACCCTCTAACTGCTACATCTGCAGGACAGCTTGTTCTGTTGAAAAACAACAGACTTACTGGCTGGATCATCAGGTGAAAATAAAGGAAGGAAAGCCTAAAATAGGAAACCAGTATAGTTATCACATCTAAGAACTGGGAAGCTGCAATGTAATAAATGTTTTCTTAAGGGTTTAACACCACCTTAACATAAGGCTAGTATGGAATCTATAGAAAAGAACACTATAACATTTGTAAAGGAATCTGAAACACCTGCTTGCTATTACTCAGATGGTGTGCGCAAGGCAGGAACGGTGTACTTTGGTAATAGTCTGCCTTCGTCTGCTTTCATTTTATGGCAGCACTGTGTATGTGGGTATGCATATGTTTTCGCTTTTTATGTAATCATGGAACTTCATAGTGAGATCTAGCATCCTGATATTGTTCAGGTGCTAATCACTATATAAAGGGTGATAATTACAAATGGACAGGGTCACACAAGAGCTTTTCAATGCATTAATTACATGAGTGTAATTATCAATTAAACAATCTACAGGCATTCAAAAACTCTTGTATGATGCTGCCCTTAAGGACAATGGCAGACTGGACACCCAAAGCTTTTTTTAAGCAATGAAGAACTGAATAGCTTCTGCCTGCTGAAGTGCATTAACTCAGCATTAAAAAGGCTTCAGGCTGTTACTATCACAGGAGCATGGGGAGTGTGATCAAAAAATTTTACATGCTGTGGTCTTATTTTTTAATAGATAGTTTTCCCGCTTCTCTCACGTGACAGCATTGCAGAACAGCAATGGGCAGACATCATTATTCTTTTTTAGAAGCCCCCATTCCCCATTATGTTTAAGGTACACGCCACATACTGGGTTACTGTAAAAAACAAAACAAAAAAAAACATATTTCTTGTTTAGACAGGAAAATGGGCCTTGTGTCTTTTTTTGGGGGGGGGGGGGGAGGACATCTACGCATTAATTAATATTAAATATTTAAGATGAAAGACATGCAACCTAATTTACTAAGGAGCACATATTTTTCATCCATTCACTTATCCTGACTACAGGAATAAAAAATATTTTAATTGCATTTAATTTCTTGTTTTATAAAAAAGCCATTAAAGATGAAAATCCGGAAGAAACCTTAAGTGTAGTAGCTGCGTATATTTAAATACAAGTGATACCTATATGAAGGTATCACAAATCGTTTACTTGTATCTGCGTGCCTTCACTCTTGAAATATCCATGCATAATGCTTGATCTAAGTAGATGCTGAACTTTGGATGGCTGCCCATCATGCAAGCTGCATTTCTGTAGACTTGTTTGTGAAAGTGTCATCTAAATCGCGGTGCTGTGTGCCAGGTTTCTACACTTCGTATGATGTGATGTGAGACTACTCTGAGGAATTGTTAACTGACAGCGGGGCTGCTTCATTAATATCTGTGCTGAAGTGCTTGAAAACAGTTCCATCCTTATACCTGTGACTCCTACAAGTGTTTTAAAGCCTAGGCTCGAGCATTCATCCTGAGAAGAACAAACACCCTTCTTTGCAACAACACGTCTGATTGTTCAACCCACATAACATGTGATCAGATGCCAAGCCAACAAAGACACGGACCTTTATTAACTCTGTTTGTGCTGCAAAGACATGAAACAGTGGCATCAGCACAATCTTTATTCCATCCAGCATTGGGGCCCTTGTACCTCCTTGCAGCAGGACCAATACTAGCTCCGGCCCTGTTTAGGGCCAGAGAAGCTCTTTGCATATATTTTTTTTTCTTTCTTCACACATCAATCATACTTTGAGACATTTGCTTTTCTTTTTTTGAGGTTAAAACAAAATACACTATTTGATGATTCATTAAATTGGGCATAAATTGTGGAAGAATTGAAGCATTTACTGATAAAATCTTGAGATTCGATAAAGATGAGTAATCTCATCAGATGTGAAATAAAAAGCCTATTTATACTGACATAATAATTTTGTAGCTAGACACTGTAACCATGGCAATAGTGACGAATACCAAAATTGAGATTTACACTGGTATGACAAAATAAATGTGAAGAGGAGGAAAAACTGATTGATCTATACCATTTGCCACTAACTCCATACATATAAAATAAATTATTTTGGTTGGAGTCAGGTGAATACAGTGCATCCCTTGAGACCAGCAAAAACACACGCTCACACACATACAAACACACCAGTCAACATGGTTAAGCTTTCACCCCTTACCATACATTGGTTATGAACATTGTCTGTACACAACCATTTAGATATATTGTGGTAGTCCTTGTATAATATCTCCCTGTCCTATTTGCAGGCATCAGTGATTGTCAGTGCAGATCATGAAGCAGTATGGTCTCTGTACAGAAGTCTGGGTGATGTTATGTGGTGGTGGTGGTGGTGCTGCTGCACAGCTCAGTAGCAGGGTATATTTCATCATATGGAGGAGGCTGCTCATTAGGCAGAGGGTAACAGTAAGGGTATGAAGGGTTTAAATCAGGATCCATGGGAGAGTAACCAGGTAGCTCCAGAGACGGGTGACCCCCACATTGCACTTCCACTCCTGCTTCATCAAAGAGGTGAAATACCCCAACGTTAATGTAGGACACACTTTGGAAGGGGAAGTCTCCAGGCGAGAAGTCATGCTCCTCATTTGAGAAGATGGAACCCCTGTTCTGTCGCTGGAAGCGCCTTCCCCCACATCTCCTTCTTCTCCTCCGCCGCTGCTGGGAGGATTTGTAGTTTTTGACCAGCAACAGGTTGATAAGACCCAGTAGACATTCCAAGGAGTTAAAAATGGTAGATATGACCAAACCCCGCTGGTAATCCTTCAGCTTCTGGCACTTGGTTGAACTGCTACCTGCGCCAGGTGTTGTTTGTTGCAGGCAAAAGTGTGAATACTTCCTTTCCACGAGTGACACAGTGTCCCCATCTATCACTGCCCCAGCAAAGGCGCTCAACACACCCAACATGAACACCAGTACTCCAAGGAGGAGGAAGTTCTGACTGCTGGGTTTACTCTCCCCTGCCGCATCTTCACGGCAGCAAACCAGGGCAGATCCCAACAGGGAGAGACCCACTGATAGCAGCAACCCGGAGTAGAATGCGCCGGCAGCCGTACCCAAACGAAATGGCTCACCCTTCAGCTCAGAGCCCAGAGAGAAGCACTTGAGGCCCACAGCGGCGGCACACTTAGGGCGCAGGCAAGCAGGAAGCAGCTGGAGAGCGCAGCGCAGGCTCCCCGGACACCCCACTTCATCCTCCGCGCCGACCTCTCCTCTTTCAGCACCCCCTCCTCTCTTTCCTCTTCCTCCTCCTGTGCTCCGGCCGGCTCTCTCTCCTCATCCTCCCGTATCCTCCTCCCCAGCTGCCCTTTCCAGGAAGGAGGTGGTGGGGTCCGGGGAGGACATGCTTTAGGGAGAGAGCCTGTAGAGCTGCATGCACTAGGGCTTAGCCCAAGGATCCTGGCTTTCCGAGTCCAGTCAGCAGCAGAAGCAGCAGCAGCAGCAGTTGTAGTGGCATACAGCAGCACCGCTCTCTCTCACTGCACCTTCCCAGCCTCTGCACATTGCATTATCTCATTGCTCTTAGAAGAGGATTAAATATTGATGTGAGAGAGGGGGGAATACAGGCAATGTGCTGAGGAATAGACAAGAAAGCCTGTCAGACTTTACACCAGCCAGCTCTGCTGCACACCAGTCCGTTTTAGGCTAGGAGGAAAAAAAAATCACTTAGCAGTTGATGTCATAAAGCCCACACAGAGCTGGTTCCCTCCCCCAGAATTGCTATCTTTAACCTGCATATCTTCAAAGCAGGGAAGAGGTTAATGGTGCAAGAGACTAGTTGTATGAAGAGAAGCTGCTTGATTGTGCGGATACTGCATTGTGACAAAAGCCCAGAAATAGGGGAACCGAATATGTCACGGCTAACCCTTAAATCTCTGCCATCAATGAAACATTTCAAGAGTTAATTGCTATTTTCTTACAAGGATTACATATACTTTTTCAATTAAATGCAGCGGTGAATCACGCTGAAACACATTCTGGCTAGCTCTCATTTAAGTGGCTAGTGAATGTTTTGTATAGCATCGTGAACAAAGGGTGTAGCGAATTCTAGTGTATAGCACTGCAGCATGGAATGTTTTATTCTGCTGCTCAAACTTTTTGTATTCCTGAGTGACTACATAATAATCTATTTTACTGAACACAGCCAGCATGTTAAGTTTACAGGCCTTAGGCACATTCTGTACTGGAATTGTGGCACTTTCTGAATTCCATGATGGTAATAAGGATTTTTACAATCCTTTGTAACAACAGAAAAATACATGTTTGTAGTGTGTATGTATTTTTTTAATATAAATATATATATATATATATATATATATATATATATATATATATAATTAAAAAAAAATTAAATTATATATATATATATATATATATATATATATAAATATATCACGTTTATACGTGATTTTGCATTTCCGGGTAGGGGGGGTTTTGCGCCCTACCCGCACCGCCGTTGGCCCCCAGTGTCAGTATGCCCGCTGCAGTCCCACAATCCCGCTATAAGTCGCTGATCGCCGCCATTACTAGTTGAAAACAAAAATAAATTCCAGTATTGGAATTTATAGATACCATTTGTAGATGCTACAACTTTCACGTAAACCAATTAATTTACACGTATTGGGATTTTGTTTTTAGCAAAGACATGTAACAGAATATTCTGGCCTAAATTTATGATGAAATTAGATTTTTAAATTTTTTTACTAGACGTGTTTAACACCAAAAAGTCAAAAATATATTTTTTTCTCAAAATTTTGGGTCTTTTTTGTTTAAAGTGCAAAAAATAAAAACCCGCACAGGCGATCCAATACCACTGAAATAAAGCTGCACTTGTGGGAAAAAAGGAGATAAATTTAATTTGGGTGCAGCATTGCATGACTGCGCAATTGTCAGTTAAAGTAACTCAGCGTCGTATTGCAAAAAATGTCCTGGTCAGGAAGGGGGGTAAATCCTCTGGAGGGCAAGTGGTTAATCTAATTTTATACTGAAATGTTGCAATCTATGGAGAGCTACTCATACCATTTGTCAGGGTGACCACTGAGTGGATTCCAGTTTTTTTACATTAAAAGTTTCAGTCATGCCAAAACATTTGTCTAGTTGAAGGGTTAGATCTCCTCTTGGGTGTTCCCTGCTATTTATGGCTCCATTACAGAGATGTACCCTATATTTCCTGCCCTACTCAAGACAGAAAGTGAGGGAAAATCTACAACAGCAAGACTTACAGAAATAAGAACCCTACATGAGATTTTGCCTTCCCTTACTCTACTAGAATTATTATACATGATTGATTATTTAGTATTAACGGTTTGTGCAGCGCTTTACATGAGGGCAGACAACACAGTTACAATATAGGAGGAATCAGAGGGCCCTGCTCATTAAGAGCTTACTATCTAAGAGGGAGGGTCAAGTGATACAAAAGCTGAGGGGGGTGGGTGAGTGGATGGAGAAAATTAAATGCCAGTCGTTAGGTGGAGACAGAACAGGCTTCTCTGAAGAAGAGGGTTTCAGGGATACTCTAAAAGCAGAGTAGGAGATAGTCGGCACTAAAGAAAATGTCCATCTCTGATGCTATTGGGGAGTTCATTTCAGTTTGCCATCTCTTTTGTTTCCACAGTTGCCAGCAAGAGGGAAAGATGTTCGATATATGGTGGACCCATCCACATGCATTAAGCCTTTATTACGTTAGTAATATGATTCTCCAATGAATTGAATGTGTGAAGAAAGAAGGATCCCACTAAGGCAGTTTTTAATAAACCCATTTAAGCATCAAGTCTGGCAGATTTCCTAAACTATGCTCTGCACAGCCAGGCAACATGTATTTTCCACACTTCCATCCACAGTCAGTGAACAGTCCATGAGCTTGGTTTTGGTTATTTTATTAGGGGAAAATAACTTAGATTGGGTAATAGGGATCATGGGATGCCCAACTTGGCTGAATCTATACATGGGGACAACTTCCTTCTTATTACAGAAACAGATCCTGGACTGTTCTTTTCCTTGAAAGTCTTTGCGGATCAAAAGTAAAAGCCACTTATGGGCAAGGGACTCACAGCCCCACCTAAAAAATCAGCTTAACTTGTAACTACATGCAGAGATTTCTCCTCTCTCCTATAGAACTGTTCCCAGCTTCACAGCCTGCAGACACTACCAGCCCTGCTGGCTGCTTAGAAGATCTCCTAAGACAAGGATAAAGGATTGAGCCCAGTGCTGTCCTTTAAAACTTTGCTACATGTGGCAATCTCTCCCCTTGTAAATCCCAGAGCATGCTGATGTACTCACTCTGTTCTCCTTGCTCCCACTGCTCCTAGGCCTTGATCCTGTTCATGCCATACTGCTGAATGGACCTTCCTGAGCCAACCCAAGCCCAGCATAGAGGCTGGCCCCCCTCGACCTATGGGGACCCCTCCCAGGCCCCTGACGGTCTCTTCAGCACTTCATCTTCCACCCAACATCACAACCGTCCTGACTATTCCATATTTATGGACTGGTCCACCACTTTACCAGGGCCTCCAAACCTGAGATTGGTTGGATTCCCATAAACATGTAGATTAGGTCTCCACTTCTTCCACCTACCGGCTTCTGGAAGGTTCCAATGGCCCTCCAGAACTAGGTGGAGGCGATAGAGTCACAACCTGTTAAGCCATCCAGCTTGGTCTGCAGTAATCCGACCTTAATCACAGACTCACACAGTTACCATGAGTCATACACAATAGATTTGCCTACACTATTCTAGTAGCACACTAGAGGGTGCTACATATATGTTTTTTGAAAGTATATGACCTATTCAATAAAGAGATTGTAGTCCCAATTTTAAAAATATGGCGCACAATATTTTTGCTATAGTCTTTCGACATATTTAAAAAAAAATCACTAACTTTTTAGTGTACAAAAACACAACCTCCGAATCAAATATAAAAAAGTGTCTCTTCAGTTAATAAATACCAAATATTTCCAACATCTATATCATATATATTTATGAAACAATACAAAAGTATGATTTGAAAAATTGTAAACAGGCAATACTTTAAAAACCCTTGACATTTGTAGTAACACGCACTAAAACATACGCACACATTACCACAATGCATGGTAACACCCATGCTCTATCTGCAGAGGGTTCTGGTGTCATTCATTGTGAATGGGACCCCAGTGCATATATGGTGTTCTGTGGTGTCTTTTTTAAAAAGGAGTTTTTCATCCTTTGTGGTGTGTTTACAACCTATTCATAATAATTGGGACGCTTTAACACAATACACATTAACCTGTGTGATAGCACACAATAACATGTGTGCATTAATGCACTGCTATGGAACGCTTGAATGTGAAAGGGTCCTTCACTCATCAGTTCAGCCTCAGTTCAGTGGCCCTATAATATATTCTACTATGTCTGGAATTTGTAGGGACATCTAATTTATTGAAATCTGTCCATACATCTGTGTCAGGGGTCTTTTTTGAACAAATGTGTTTATACATTTTTTTTTTAATTCACTTAATCTTTAACCACTTTAAAAGCACACTTTCACCCATTCTTGCCCAGGCCAATTTTTGGATTTCAGCGCTCTCACACTTTGAATGACAGTTACTCCTTCATGCAACACTATACCTGAATAAAAATTTTAGCATATTTTTAGACAGATAGAGCTTTCTTTTGGTAGTATTTAATCACCATTGAGTTTTTTATTTTTGCTATATAAACATTTTGAAAAATTTACGCCAAATGTATTTTTTTTTGGTATTTTTTTTAACCTAAAATAACCTAAATCAGTGTATATTATTTGGTCTGTGTGAGAGTTATAGAGCAGGGATCTACAAACTTTCCAAGCAAGGGGCCAGTTTATTGTCCTATGGGCTTTGGGGGGGGGGGGGCCAGACTGTGGCCAGTGGAAGTAGAAAATGCCCCGGCATCAGTGCCCCATTATTGGTTTTAATGGGAGGAATAGTGTCCCATTGTTGATATCAATGAGATGAATAGTGCTCCATTGATGGTGTCAGTAGGAGGAATGGTGTCTCATCATTGGTGTCAGTTGATGGATAAGTGCTCCAAGGGCCAGAAGGGCAAGCTAAGGGCCACACCCAGCCCCTGGGCCACAGTGTGGAGACTACTGTTATAAAGACTACAAATTATGATATACACATTGCAGTGATCAGGGATACTTTAACTGGTGTGGTGGTGATCAGGGACATTTTAACAG